TGGCCTCGATTGTAGACCCAAGCAACATGAATTCTTTGACAACCTCAATCTTTCCTCCATCCTTCTGATTACTCTCATCTAAAATGCTTTTGTATATATATGTAAACGTGTCTGTGTGTAGCATCTGCATAAACTCTCTCTGGAAGTATTCAGGAAACTTAGAAACACCAGTTGCCTTCCAGAAGGGGAACCCAGGTGGCTGGGACACAAAGCAGGAGGAAAATGACACTGCATACCCTTTCACATTTTAAATTCTTACACAAGTTACTGCATTCCTTTGTTTCAAATTTTTAATTCAAGTTTAAAATTAAAATAAATTAAAAAAAAAATCTTAAGCAACTAGTTTAATTCTCTCAGGACAATTTCAAAACAGGAAATTGATGACTAAACCTCCAGTTAGTAGTAGAAGGAAAAGGCAGCTGTCAAAAAAACCTCTTTTGACCTCACATGCCATGTCCCCTGCCTCCTAAATAAAACCAGCCTGAAGACTTGGATGAGTGTGGACAGCAGGCATCTGAGTGTGATTCCACAGCTCGGCCCTCAAGAGAGAGAGAAGCAGGCAGGGCTGCTCACCTGTAGGCTGTCCGGTACCCGGTGATGGTGATCTTCAGATTCTGTCCCTCTTGCACCTCGATCATTTGTGAGGACGGCTCAAACCGGAATTCTTTCATCATGGGTTTGAAGTAATACTGCCCAGGACTCTGCCAAGAGACAATCACAAACTGAGCCTCTGGGGTCACATCTAGACAGCTTACAAGGGTGACACTTAAGTTATGACCGAGCAAAATTATGCCACGAAAGCTCCAGGGCTTCCTACACAGACAGACATGGTAACTATCTCTATAATAACTGTACAAAAGCAAGTATAACCGCAGCAGCTGTCATTATCATGAGCCTACAACAGCCCTGTGAGGTAGAAGTCATATGCGAATTTTATGACGAAGAAACTGAGGCTCAGAGAGGTAAAGTAATTTGCCTGAGATGACACAGAAATAGGAGCAAAGGGAATATTATAAGCTGGGTGGGTATCACTGCAAAGCCTGTCAACTTTCTGAGATGCCCCATTGTCTCAATGTGACATCCCTGTAGCATTCATCTTATTTCCATGACTAACAAGATGGTCAATTAACATGGACTTCCTGAGTGTCCACCAGCCAAACTCAGACTACATCTCAGATGAGAAATTGGGGCTATCTTCCCACCATGAGGAGCCAGCATGCCTCTAAAAGCTGTCCTCTCCCCACAGCTGCAAGCGGCCTCTCCAACTCAGGTCTAGGAGGACCACGTAACTCCAGCTGAAAGGACTCCTTTCTCACCTCACGGTGCTTTCCTGATTTCTTTCCTGTCAGAGTGAGAGAGCAATGTCGCCAAGCTACCCTCCCCTCTTATAGAAACCAGGAGCAGAACTGAAAGGAAGATATCCCAAAGAAGCGACACTGTCAACAGCCAGGGAGACTAACTCAGCTCACACCAGCCCCACTAGCAGGGCACACTGCTCAGGCATCTAACATCATTCCCACTGTGCACATTCATGGAAACAGGCAGGCGGCCCAGTTCCTGCCCCTTTATCTTTGGCCACAGGCCTGGGCTTACACATGTGCAAGAGAAGCTAGCTCCATGGTTCCACGTGCACCTCCACACGAGGTGAGGGTGATATGGGGCCTCGTGCTCAACCCTAACCTCAGCCTCAATTCCAGTGACTTCTGCTGCTTTGCAAACACCAAAAAAAAACACAAGCTAACGTCCAAATGCAACCTGACACTATAAACAATGTGATGCCATGGTAAAACACAAGGATACCTAAGGGAGAAGTCACTGTGGTCAGGGTAATTAATTACACTGTCTTAGTGACAAGTGGGTGACCAGGAAACAAGAAGTGTGTGGAAGGGAACATGAATCAGCAGCATTAAAAACTAGTATGAGCAAGACTCTAATTATATTTGGTCCCCAAAGAAACATAAAACACTCCAAGTTGGCTTTCTGTTCTCACATTGTCGAGCAATGTATGAGCCCTGCACACCATATCCCCACTCTCTCAGGGACAGGCAGGTAGTAAATTACAGAAGGGCACCTTACCAGGTTTGAGAACGTCAGAATGCCATTGTCCTGAGTCAAGAGGTTGGAACGAAACACGCCACCACTGAGGGACAAGAGGACCCCAGGGAGGGGTTGGTCATCTTCAGCTTTTATCTGGGGGTGAGAAAGTAACATGCAGGCAAGATTAACTCATAACTATGAAAATAGTATTTCATTAATCCAAAGGTAATTCTTACTGGATTTTTTGTTTTCCTTTGGTTTGTTATTAGGGAATGGGGAGGCTACTCTTCATCCCCAGGTGCAACTAATGTTAATAGTACGGTATGCAGCCTTCCAGAATTCTCCACGTCCAAAAAAATGTGATAAAACATTGAATACATTGTTGGCAGGCTGGCAAGTTTATCGGGGAGACAGAGGTAAAACAAAAACAGCAGTGCTACACATACACGCCTGCAGTTTGCGTCCTCCCTCAACAACGTATCCTCCACGTCATCTCTTCTATGTCATTCAGACCTCTGCCTCACTATTTAACAGCTACATAACATTGTAAAGCAGGGTCAGCAAACCATGGCATGTGAGCCAGCGACCTATTTTTGTGGTGAAGGACAGAGCAATCTAAATGTCCCCAGACATATTTATCTTTGTGTACTTGTGTTTTTCTCTATTTCTGAACATTATTATTATTTAACCCCTAGGAGAGGAACTGTTAGATATGTGTACTTTAAATTCAGAAAGATACTACTCAATTGCATTACAAAGTGGTTGTAGCCATTTAGAGTCCCATAAACTACCTAGACATAGGAAAATACACCTTCCCCAAAACATGGAAACTGTTTTCATTGTTGTGAATTTAATCCAAAAGCCAGTATTTTGATGCTAACTTCCTTTGTATTTCCTCAGAAACTAATGATCATTTCTTCTATGTTTATTAGCCATTTGTTTTACTTCTGTGAATTGTCTTTTCATATCCTTTGTTCATTTGTTTCCTGTTGGGTTGTCTTTTCCTTATTGATTTGCAGTTATTTGTAAACTGAGAGTATCATTTATGGTGCAAATATTTCTTCCCAGCTTGGATGTCTTTTAATTTGCCTTAATATGTATTCTGCTTTACAGCATTGTAATTGTTATGGGATGTAATCTGTTCTTTTCCTCTGGCCTCTCTGTTGTAAATGCTGAGTCTGGAGCCCCCAGACTCACTCTGTCTGTACATTACACAGCATGTTTCCTCCCAAAAAAGACTAGAAGAAAAAGGACAGATATTAAATACCACCACAGGAACATTCTGTGTTATTTCACACAGAACAGTGTTAAAGATGAAAGCTTCAAACACGTCTCCAAAGGTATACAAACATCCAAAAGTCAACAGATCTTCAAATTATGGTGAAAGAAGCTAGACAAAAGACTTATGATTGCATTTACATAAAACGCTAGAAAATGCAAACTAATCTATAGTGACAGAAAGATCAGTGGTTGCCTGGGGATGGTACATGGGAAGGGGCAGGAGGCAAGGATGACAAAGAGGCAGGAGGAAACTTTAAGGGGTGATGGACATGTTCACAATTTTGATCATGACCATGTGTTCATGGGTTTATTCATATGTCAAAACTTACCAAGCTGTATGCTTTAAATATATGCAGCTTCCTGTGTATCAGACCTCAAGGAAACTGCTTTGATTAGATACGAACCTTAGGAGATGGTGGGTTTATGTTAATGGGGAAAAAACAACTCAGAAAAGGAGGGTGAGAATGGTTATACAACTCGAAGACTGTAATCAGTATCACTGAATTGTACGTGCAGAAACTGGTGAATATACATATGAACACACATATTTTGCTGCGTATATTTTCAACAACTACAAAAGAAATAATTTTTTTTAATTTGTATGTGATTTGGGTGAAAGTTTACAGAGCAAATTTATTTTCCATACAGCAGTTCAAAAGGAATAAAATTTTTAAAAAGAAAGCTGCTTTTCAAAAATGCAATGTTACCTCAAAGCTTATGCCTGCCAAGGCATAAGCCTTAAAGTCTCCTATGGTTCCTTCCACAGCAGTCAACACATAGCCCTCCTTCTGTGAGGTCACAGTATACTCTAGATCACTGTGCAAGGGTCCAACACTAATAAAAGAAAGCAAAACACAACAGATGGCTCTGTTTCAAATCCTGGGAGAAGTGACATCTATCACAAGGTAATCTGGCTCCTCAATTTCCTTAGAAGAACACCAAAAGGCAACTAATTACAAGCAAATATTTCTTAATCATGGGCTTACCTATAGGCACCCTTGTCATCAGTGAAGACTGTGATCAGGGGTGAGCTTGCCCCCTTTTCACTAATGACAATCTCAACTCCTTCCAACTCGGGGTGGATCTGGCCTTCTAAAAACAAGCCAGCCTTCCCATGGATCTCGATCAGCTTCCCTGGACAGCTTTCTAAAAGGGGAAGAAAGAGAAGAGCGGGGTTTAGTTGCAGCGAGAGAGAAGCCTTCTGGCTGGGGGCTTCCCATTAAATAAGGGCCTAAAATTGAGACATCTGATGCTAGCTCCAAAAGAGGTTATTTAACAGAAACTTTAATCATTGGAAGTGGACCAAGCCCCTCTCTATCCCTAAAAAGCCTTGCTCAACTGCTAAGGAACTTAGCAGGAAAATCTAACAAAGGCTGGGTTTACTTAATCCTTTCCCTTGGTCTTCAAAGGACCACCAATAAAGAAATCTCCATTGTCAGCCAAGAAGAAGCTATGCTGCTCAGCCCCCAGAGGACCAGTTTAGAGAACAGCCCCACAGAGCCCACCCATACTAGAAAGCTGTACTGTTCAACACAGCTACTACTGAACTCTAACCACATCAACAAAGAGTTTAATGAAAAGACAAGTACTACACAAGTCATCATTTCCAATTATCCATTCCCAAAAACTCATTCCATCACCCAGTAAAAAAAAAATATAAAGATCATAAACAATTCACACATATGAAGACTAGTATTCACATTATAGTAATGGATGGCTTTGGTTTACACTTACCTTATGGTGCCAACTTGATAATGTCAAAGAAAATCAAGTTCTTTTCTAAAACGATCACTTCAATTCTAAGAGTAAACATTACTTTTGTTGATTTAGATCTTTTATTCATCCATCCATCCATCCATCCATCCATCAAGTTGTAACATCTATGTGCTAAAGAGGATGTAAGGTGCCTTACAAAGATGACCTCACTTTACTAACACAAAACTTTAAAAATGTAACTTCAGGTAAAGAGACAATTGCAGAGATGTGTCATTTGCTCAGTGAGCTGATATTTACCTCCACTGACAACGGCTTCCATTGAAGGGGGATAAAAGAGAAGCTCTTTAGACGAAGGTGTAACAGTGATTTTCTCTCCAGACCTAAAATAATCAAGATGCTTCAATTTGGCTAGTTCTGTCCCACCCACTAGACAAAAAAACATCAGAACAGAGGACATCATAAGGAAAAGCACAAAAGAGCTTACCGTGCCCAATAAGAGAAATCATATGAGAAGGGGCCTTGTAATTCATCTACCATCTCCTGCACAAGAGGTTTGGTCCTCCCTTCTCCACCTTCTTCTTTGCCGTTTTTCTCCCTCTCCTGCCTGCGGGTCTCAATTTCAGCTAGCTGCTGCTCTCTCCGGAGCTCCTGCACAGACTTCAGAGGACCTAAGACTAAGGCAGGCTCACTGTCAATGGAAGACCTGGAGGAGAGGTGGAGGTGGCCCATAAGGATGTAGTCACTTATCCCTGTTGTAGTGGGTCTCTGACATCTCTATAGGTACGGACTGGTCAATAAAAAGCAGAACACTTTATAATGACATCAAAGTGGTACAGTTTTGAATAAACTCACAATTAAAAAACAAACTGTACTTCATAACAATTACAGTAGTATCTTGTAGATGTAACCTGGAATAAAGACCACTTGACTTTATGACAACTTGATAAAAACATCTCAGTTTTTACACAGGACAGAGTTATCTCCATGGCCACCATCGTCTCTTCATTCATTCATTCGTTCAGTAAATATTTATCAAGAACATACTATGGCCTAGGCACTGCTCTAGGCACTGGGGATACAGCAGTAAACAAAACAAACAAAATTCCCTACTTCTAAGGAATCCATATTGTACTGGGAAGAGACAGGTAAATAAATGGATGAATAGCATCAGATGATAAGCAGAATGAAGAAAAATAAAGTAAGACGAAGAGAGGTTGAAGTGCTAGAGGAGTGGGATCATTATTTTATACCAGAGGTCAACCCAGGTCTCTCTGATGAGCCAACACTTGATCAAGCAAAGACCCAAAGGAAGGAAGGGAGAGCACACGCCACATGTCTGTCTGGGTGAAGAGTGTCTCAGGCAAGAGGTCAGCAAGTACAAGTCCTTGGAGAAGAAGCTCACTTACATGTTCAAGGACAGCAAGGAGACCCTGTTGCCTGGAGCAATGTGACCCATGGAAGTCAGATCAGTCAGAAAGAGGCCCGAGAGGTAGCAGGTGTCAGACAGACCTTGGATTTCATTCTACCCTGCATGGGATGGAGATGTAAGTAGAGGAATGATACAATCTCTACTATGCAAGGATCACTCTGGCTGCCATATGGAGAACACACTATTGGGAGGCCACAAATGGGGAGGTCAGTTAGGAAGCTGTTGTAATGATCCAGGCAAGAGACAATGGTGGCTAGTATTAAGAAGACACTGAGTTATGGATATATTTTGATTATAAACCCAAAGATTTGTTGATGAATTGATTAGATATAGGGTGTAAGAAAAAGTTCAGGAACAACTAGAAAGATGGAGCTGCAATTTTTGAAACAGGAACTACTACTGAGTAGGCTTGGGGAAGGCAATGGCCAAAAGTGTGGTTTTGAGCATGTCAAGTATAAAATTCCCATTCCAGATTCAAGTGGCTTCCAGCTGTAACATGCACTTCTTACAACCCACAGTGCAAGTAAATAAACCAAAAGGCCTTCTGAAGTTACAAGAATAAACTTAGTAAAGACTGAAAATGAAGCAATATGGAGTGACTGCTGGTTAGAATATGGATTTCTAGTTATACCAGGAATTCCTATTTTCCATGTAAGGAACTAGTAAAAGGCACTGCTCCAGCACCATCACAGTGTCTTGCCCACATGAGACACTCAACAGATCCTTCTCCCTAGGAACCTGGCTCCCTACCTTGGTGAACAGTGCTCCTATCAATCCAACTTCTTCAGCCAGAAACCAAGGGCTATTCCTGACACTTCCCCTTCCTTGACCCAACATCCTATCAATTCAGTCCTCTCAGCAATTCTCTGCTCCATCCACTTCTCTCCATCTCAACTGCCCACAGAATAGATGAAGCCCCATCATCTCTCACTGGGATTTCTGTAAGAGTCTGCCTCCATCAATTTTATTCTTGTGCCTTTCCTAAATGTTCTCCACTCAGCAGCCAAAAATGTCATCCCTTTATTTAAAATACATCAGTAGTGTCTGTGGCTCATGGGATAAAGACTAAGGCCTGGACTTTACTACCCTGCCTCTGTCATGCCTCCTTCCCCATACTAGGTCAAACTCAAAGCACTTATCACAGTTGTACTAGTATAGTTCTCTGTGACTCTGACTACTGTCTGCTTCCCCCCCAGGAGACTCTAAGTTATAAGACAGGGGCTATGGCATAGGGCCAGTGCCTAGACACTAAAGATTCTCAATAACTATTTTCTACATGGGTACTTGGATGAACAGATGTTTGGAGAGAAAGATGGAAACAAACTGCTGAAAAATCTCATTGTTGTCAAGTTTATTCCAATTCACAGTAGCCCTACAGGACAGAGTAGAACTGCCCCAAAAGGGTTTTCAAGACTAATCTCTCAACTGCTAACCAGAAGGCTGGCAGTTCAAACCCACCAGCCACTCCTTGGAAGGAAGGTTGGGCAATCTACCTCTGCAGTGATACCGCCTCGGAAACCCAAGGAGGGGTTGCTATGAGTCGGGTCCTACTCAACAGTACATAACAACAACAACAATCTTTTCAGAAGCAGACTGCCACCTTTCTCCTACAGAGGGGCTGTTGGGTTCAAACTGCCAACCTCAGCAGCCAAGTGGTTAACCACTGCACCCCCAAGGCTCTTTAAGATGGAAGCAGAGCCTACAAAAACAAACCTTGAACTAAGATGAGGCAAGAGAAAATTATTCTGATTTCCATTCCATTTTACAAAGAGGGTCATGTTGCTGCAATCCCCTTCAGTTCATTTCTGGAGAAAACTAGGGTGTCTGATGAACATGACACCCTGCATGTGCTTCTCACCACACAGCAAAAATTACTCTCAAAGATGGCACTCACATGAACCTGACCCTCAGTGAGGGACTATCTTTCAAATACTTTCACTCTCATGATCCTTCTTGTATCAGGTGTCATCTGTATTTCCCACACCTTAAAGAAATGGTCTAAAGAAAAGTAGACAATTTTTTCTGAATTTACTAAAACACTTGCAATCTGATGAACAAACTCTGGATTTTTTTTATTTCCTCCTTAGAAAAGACAGGAAGTGTAAAGAGTTCAGACAGAAATTTAACACACTGAAAGAAGCTGTCAGAAGGCTCTATCTCATCCACAGTTAATTCTTGACTCAAAAGAAAAGGATCACGGCTGCTGTGAATTTATGGCAGTGTCACAGAAATATAAGAGAAGGAAAGCCATTTGTACACATACCTAGAGATAAGAAATCAAAAATAATTTTCAGAGAGTCTATCAGAGAACACCCCAGGCCTTGTCCACCAGCCTCCCACACTCTGCCCACCATGGAACACACTTCTTACTTGATTGTCACGGTGACATCCATCATTTTGTCAGTGGTGATAGTCCCAAGGACATGGTGGCGAATGGCTGTCAACGTCAAGATACTAGGTGAAGACCTATAAATCAAAGAAGTGGAAAGACAAGCACTGGCAACACTATCTCATCATTCTCAAGAGGATCATAAACACACCCTTTTATGGGTGACCCTCCTGACCCTGAAACATACTACCTCAACGTGCTCTTAGTCAGCATAAAATAACTTCTGAAATACACATAAATATTTTAAAGAGTAAACTGAATCTATACTCAAAATATTTACACTTCCAATTCCCAGAGAAACCCACAAACATCTGTAAAAACATAAAATGGTAGTCCTGAGCTTGAGTAATCCCCATCAGCGAGAGATGGAAGAGTTAACAAAGATATTTAAGCCACTTCAAAAACACAGCCTGTTATCCTTGGTTTGCAGAATTCTTGTAAAAGAGATCTTATCTCCATTTCCTCAGTCATTTATCCAAGTGTCTTAAAATCCTTATCTAGAAATTCTTTCTAATGACTACCCTTACCTCTTCTAGAAAAAAAAACAGAAAAATTCCTTTTGCTCTCAGAAAAAAATGAAGAAGAGCTATGTGCTTGTCTCCTCCACAAAATGTGCATAAACACCACCAAGTATTTAATAACCAAGCCAGGCTTACGTGTCATAGGTGTAGAAAGCTTGCTCAAACCGGTGGCAGGAGCGAGGGGTCACTTTATACACACCTACAGACAGGAAATCAAAAAAGTAATTTTCAGAGACCGGTGTCTATTACACCAAGCAATTCCAACATTTGAAATCCAAAGGCAAAAATACAAAACAAAACAAAACTGACTGCCATCAAGCCGAATCCAACTCACAGCAACCCCCACTGGATTTCCGAGGCAGTAAATCATTACAAAAGTAGAATGTCCCATCTTCCTTCTGCGGAGCAGCTGGTGGGTTTGAACCACCAACATTCAGTTAGCAGTCAAATAGCTCCTCTCAAGTGAAGACTCGCGACATATAACAGATCTGCAGGATGAGGCTCACAAACCCCCGGCAGCATCTTCTCTGTTGCCTATGATGGCTTCTTAACAATGACCCAATCTATTTTACAGCCCACTCGTGAGCACAGGTTTTCACTTTCCATAACTTATCAACTCACAGTAGTTTAATCTGTACAAGCCAAGATTACGGAATCATGCACAGAAGGAACAGAAAGAATATTTCTATTGCAAATCAAATTGAGAACAATTTTCTACTTAAAAGATTTTGTTAAAAATCCAAAAGATAACCACTACCTGAACCTTTCCTATAAATATTCCTAAGAGGGGAAAGGGAATAGGGAAGCCTCGAAAGATTATTAAACAAGTACAGAAAACACTTTTATGCCATGAGTCTATGTAGGGGAACACTCGGATTAGGGGCATATTTCATCATTTGCCAGAGGAAAACAGTCAATTTCAGGAAGAAGCAAAGTGTAGCATTTTATCGCTCCAATTGATCATTAACCAACATGTTCACTAGACTTCCTACAAAAACCTGAAACCTGTTCAAACTATCCCTGCTGTTTTCATCACACTGAGTAAGCGCCAGTGCCATTACCATTAGAAAAAATGATTAGGTTTCTTCATTCAACAAATGTTGCCAGAGTACCAAGGGGGCAAGTATTATACTAGGTGATGGTCCACAGGGGGGAACAAACAAGACTGGCCCCTGCCTTCATGAAGCTTACCATCTACGGTGAAAGATACTAACAGATACATGGATACCAATGGTGACAAGTACGGTAAGGGAGAAGAACTGAACTATGAGAAAGACAATAGCTGAGAGACTAAAATGAGACTGGAAGGCCATCCTGTCCTAGGGAAGTAGTATTTGAACCCAGCAATGAAATTACGGTAAGAAAGCAGAAGTTAAGTCAAGAGCAGGATGTGAGGGGCAGAGAACAGCACTGGCATCATAGACTTGTTAGCTGCTTCCCCAAAAGTTGTGTCCTCTCACCCTTGATAACACACTGCTTATGTTTACAGTGGCAATGTGCTCAGTGTCAGATAATTATCCAACTGTCCCAGCCTCTCTTGCAGCCAGAAGTGAGTATGTATCATGGTTTTGGCCAAAAAGGCAGCAAAGGGAAGAGGCATGGGAAACTTTGGCCCTCCCCGCTCCTCGTCTTCCTGCCTTGAACATAACAAGGTTTCGGAGACAACCGTAGCCACTGTGCAACTATACAGCAAAAAATACAAATGAAAGGCCAGAAAATCCCAAAGACACCAACCCTAATATGTCTCAGGTGCTGAGCCCATGCTAGTAGCTACAGACCTCCAGACTTATTATCTAGCCAAACAAACCCCCACTCGTTGAGGTTTTGTGATTTGTAGCCAAAGGCATCCTAATTGATACAATGGTGAAAGCTGGGGGAGGAGGGAGTGACACAATTGAAGAGGGACAGAGTGGCTGGAGATGAGAGCGTCAGGATAAGATGTCAAGGCATCAGAGAGGGGCTATAGGATCTCAAGTTCAGATTAAGGATTTTTTATTTTATCTTGAGAACCAAGATTATTCACTAGGGAAATGAAAAATAAAACCACAATGAGATACCACTTCACACCTACCAGAATGGCCATAACCAAAAAGACAGGCAATTACAAGTATTGGC